GCAAGATACGCGGTAGTAAGTGATTGCAGTTAATAATAGGAAACGCCAATTTCATTAATCTTAGTATGTTGAAGGATGAAGCAAAAATTAATTAATTTGATAGGCTGATGATTTCTTTGCACTTATTTGCAAAGGTGCCCTACCCCATTTCATAATTTCTACTCACCTTACCAAAGCAATATCAACAGATCCCTTTTTCTTCAAAGTCTTCTAAGGTGTTGCAGCTTTAGTGAGTTTAGAAATGGATGCTGCTCTCCCTGAGAAATGCAGCTTTTAATGATATAAATGATGATGGTGGGGAACACTTGTACAGTGCTTTGCTAGAACCAGGCACTGTTCTAAGTACTTTCATAAGAATTCTGGGAGGAAAATATTATCACCCTTATACATGAGGACACTGAGGCACAGAGAGATTAAGTTACATGACTGATGGCATGGGCCAGTAGGGGGCAGAGCTGGGACTTCCACGTGGGCGGGTTGGCTGATGAATTCCTATGCTTAATTGTTACAACAAGTTGCCCCTTCTTACAAGTTCCTTGTTTCTGCTACTACCTACTTGCAGTACATAGTGGACCTGGCAGAATTTAAAGTACAGAAACGTAGCTTTCAATCCCAAATTTCCTCTGCAAACCTGGGTAGTTTTACATACCAAACCTCAGATTTTTTTTTTCCTTGTAAAATGGGAATAATAATATTTGTTCTGCCTACTTCGGAGGTTGTTGAGCAGAATAAATAAAATAATGTATATGAAAGTGCTTTGTAAAGTGTTACATAAAGAGTTATTTCTTAAACTCTGATTGGGCATATCGGATAGGACATAGCTTCAGCTGTATGTGATGAAATGTTCCATAAAGTTAATGGGGTCAGGGCTAGAAGACAGAACTTTGGCTTGAACCCAGGGTTGCCCATATAAAACCGTGCTTCTAATTACACCCCTGTACGCGCTCCTCTGATACTTAGTCAGATGTGCTTGATGGCACACCATTATTTTCCTAGGCAGGTTCATTAATAATGAGAATGTAAACATAAATTGTCCTTCAATAACTTACCACAAGATGCTCCTCTGGTTGGCCTAAATCAAAAATTCCGATCTCTGACTTACAGACTGAACTGACAGAGGGCAACAGAGAAAGAGAGGGCAAGTGACAACAGCCATAATGTGGTTGTCCAAGCATCCAGAAACACTTAGCTGAGGAAGATTTCTTCCTCCTTTGGCAAGTTGGGGACATTCCAGTCTGGTGCCTTTGAGCCTTTGATGTGGAAATCAGCTCAAATTCCCACACAAGAGGGGAATGTTTATCGGTCTGGGTACATTCTGAGGGCACTCAGGGAGGAGAGTGATAAGGGGTCTCTCTGTCTCATACGCTTACTCCTTCAGGCAAGGTTCCTCCATCTGCGGGCAAAAGAGAAGGCTGAAAAAAGGAAACTAAAAATCATATAAGTAGTGATGTTAGCACTCTCTCTCTTTTGCCTCTAGCAAATGCCTCGCTAAGAGTTATCATTCGTTCCAATACCACTAAAGCAGAAAATCTATATGTCAAACAAGAAGCATTAGCCAGGTATCTCCGGTGATCAGCCTACTCATGTGCTTGGAGTTTACATGGTGCCCTTTAGCAGACTAAACTCTCAGAAAAGTAAACAGTGAAGCATTAGAAACCATGACATGCCAGATTTGGGGTCACCCAACATAAATGTAATCAACTTTGAGAATGTTTTCCCTTCATTCAGCTCCCTGAATAAAGAAAAATAAAAGATTTAAAAAAGAAAAAGAAAAAAAAAGACATTGAGGATGTCTGAGGATATAGGGCTCAGTAAGATCAGCTGTGGTTGACCACATCATAATACACCTTCAGTAAAATAGGCCAGTCATTACTAGAACCCCCTTTTGATGTACATTAAAATCAATCTTTCTCTTTTTTACAGAAAGTGAAGAATGAAGACAAGTATTTAAACAATACAAATACTATATAGCTTTCCCTGGTTATGCTGTACCTCTGCCATTCATTCATTTCTTCAATCACTTCTTCAACAGAAGTGTTGACTATATGAGGGTGGGGGCCAGCACTGTGGCAAGGGATTGGGCTGTGAAGATGAATAAACCGTGGTTCCTGCTGACTGGCTTCAGTGTAATCACTCGACCAGTCAGAATAAGTATAATGAAGACAGAAAGAAATTACTATCTTGGCTGAAACACAGGAAGTAGGCAGAGCTTAAGGAAGGGTGAAGTAAAGTAGTAAGCCACTCTACACTCTCTGCCCTGGTCCCACATTTCCTGGGTCAGGGAATACAACTTCTTCTGATATGCACTTGTGTTTCCTGGGTCAGGGAATACAACTTCTTCTGATATGCACTTGTTGTTGCCTCCTGCCACTTCTCTCACTACCTTTTCTTCTGCAGTGAAGAGAGAAGAAAGTCAAAGGAGCTATTGGGTTGACAAGGGGAAGGAGGAAACCATTTGGGTGCCATGCAGTTCTTGGCCCCCCTTTCTTGAGGCATGGGTCAAAGAAACGAGTGGATTCTGATAAAGTGGGGCTTCAGTTGCAGACATCTGTAAGCTGGAGGGGACCACAGAGGCCATCCTCCTTACTATCCATTTTGTAGTTGGGGACATTGAGGTTTAATGATTTACCCAAGGCCACACAGCCAATTAGTGGCATCTGTGGGACTAGAACTCAGGCTTCTAAACCTCCACAAAAGTTGGAATGCACCAGTGGAGCACTTCTAATGCCCCTTTTTGCCAGAGGTAGCAAACTCTACTACTGCCTTCAGCAGCCTCTTCCATCTTATGATCTTGACAATCAGGCAACCCTTCATTTCTGGTTCTCCAAAGAAATGAAGAACAATTGATTAAACTAGTCACCCCATGGTCTTCTGTTCCTTAAGGAAAACCACACCATCACTGTCACTCAAAGGACTTATTTTCATATATTTTGTCATTTTGTTATTCTTCCGATAAGAGTGATCAATTTTCCTCTCTATCCCTTTGAAAATATGGCGACCCAAATTGAATCCAGAACTTTAAAGATTTGTCTGATGAAGTAAAATAATGTCTTTGTGTTTTGCCTTTCAATGCGTCCTACTTTGACTTTTTGGTTTTGCTTGTGTGTTATTAAATTTTCAGAACAACGTTACTTATTTTCAGCGTGCCAGTAATGACCTTGAGAATTTTATACTGTTGATTTATTTCTATAAGGGTGCTTTCCTGAACGTTGTCCTGTTTGTATGACAGCCTGTCACATTTTCCCATTTGTCAGCTTGTCAGTAAATGACCAGGTGGCACATATATGTCAGGAAAACTAATCACCTTCTAACAGGATTTGGAACGGAATTAATGCGGATCGTGCGCCCTTCTTGTTCCAGCTTTAGCAGCCCAAGGTCCATGACTGCTCAGAGATTAGCTGGTTGGCAGCTGCACTCCATGGCACCTCAGACCCTCGGCAGTGAATCTGGAGAGATTCAATACTGGAGTTCCTGGAAGACAGAGTTTGGGTATGTGATTGAAACTGGCTAGCCCATCCCAGGATGCCCAGTGAGACAAACGCATCTCCTACTTTGAAGGTAATGACACTGGGCCAGAAGGCCACGGAGTCATCGAGTTCATCCTGCCAGACAAGTTTCTGCTTTTGTAGGCTTCTGAATCTCAGACACGACGCGATGTGTCAAGCTGATGCGGCCAGGGAGCCATTTGAAGGGGTAATGCTGAGTGTTGTCAATATTTACTAGGTGTCTTTGGTTCTTCCAGCCCTCCCAGTTGCTCGGTGACGAGTCCACAAGTTCTCACTCCTCATTTCCAAGCTCGTTGCTCGTCTCTTCTTCACGTCCCTGCTCCTCCCCTTTGCTCCAGCCCTCACCGCGCCCACCTTTTCTCAAAGCCGCCACCTGTGTGCTCGCGGAGACCTGGGCGGAGCCTTGGGTCCGGGCCCATGACGTCACCCCTCTACGATGGAGGCGGGGCTGTGGGAACCGCAGTGCAGCGCAGAGGGGCGGGGCGGGGCGGGGCCTGCGGCGCGTGACCTGGCTGCGGGAGGCAGGAACAGGGAGAAAGGTGTAGGGGGGCTGGGAGCGGCCGACTCCGGAGTCCGGGGGGCGGGGCGGGGAGTGGCAGGGCCCAGGCGGCTGGCGCCCCGCAAAGCGCTGAAGCAGGTCACGCTTCTTCCTTCCCCGTCC